TCACCAACATAATTTGGGTTCTTCGTGCGCGCCATTGATCTTCGAAAAACCAAACAACCCAACGAAATCGGTTAAGCATTTTAACCTAAATTCGATGCGAATTCTACTCAAAATTGCAAAATGTATACTCGAATTTGAATAAAGGAATTAGATTCGGACTTACCTTGGAATTAGATTTCGAGTTACGAAGAGTTATCCTTGGTTGTACTAGAAGAAGGAAGAGAGTTGGAAGAGGAGATGGCGGACTTGTGTTTTTTTTTTAAAACTGTCGAGGGAGGTTGGGTTAAAGAAGGAGAGTGGGATCCGAATTTTCTGGGTTTGGGTGTGGGTTGATCCATTTAGGGTGGTTGGATCTGTAAATAAGAAATTTCATTAGGGGATTTTGGGTCTTTATCATTTTTTTCGATTTTTATACACAAAATTTAAATCAAAAATAATTTTTTTTCTAACAGAAGGTTATATCTGAATAGCATTGGGGTATAGGAGGACATGGTCCAGATTCCTCCTAACCCTAGTTTGCCCTTTGATTTTGATTTTCTCTCGAATCTCTTTTCACTTCTCTCGTTGATACCATGTCATCTCCTCCTGTCGAAACCACCGGTACAAATCTCTCTCTCTCTCTCCAATAATCCATGTTTGATCTGATTCTTTTATGGTTGTTCCCTGTAATTTTAAAACCTTGGTCGCAGGGCCTTGCACACGTGTATTCTGGGACCTTATGGATTTCCGGTTACCTAGTCCTGATCCTAGGCGCACTTATCGTACTATGAATTATATTCTCGAAAAGATTGGTTTTCTTGGTGAATTGTCAATCGTTGCGTATGTCGATCAGGAATGTTTTCTGGATCATTTGCTCGATGAATATAAGAGTGCCGGAATCACCATCATTCACCATCCCCAACAAGGTGAGTGAATTATCTATCTATGTTTTTCTCGAACTTGTATATCTTTCTCTTTCTCTAATAATAATTTACGTTGAACTCACAGGGGATAAATATGCGAGTATGTTAGTCGACATAATTTTGTGGGCATTGGAAAATCCGGCCAATTATTTTGAACCGTTAAATTTGATGGTAATTTCCGGAAACATCAAAGAAGAAACGGATTTCCTCAAAGCCCTTGAAGCGTTGGGACATAGATATTACAATGTTCTTTTAGCAATGCCTCAACCCCTGTCATCAAGTAAGCTACATACTGTTAGCTTTGACGGTCTTTCGACAAGCCTAGACCAACGTGTAACCTTACAAGGTCTTAACCATAAGTGGAACCGGAAGAGTAGAGAAGAGAATGTTGGTTTTTCTTATGGACTAGCTTCTTTGTATCCCCAATATTTTCGCGGTAAGATCTATTTCTTGCTCTAAATTGCTCTGCCTATATCGATCTGTCTTGGATCTAAAACTTTTCCTTCTCGTCTCAGGGGCTGAGGTAACCGTCTTCTGGGATGTCCAGGATCGCGTAACCAGTGTTCCGAAAATTGGCCCAGCTCTTCGTGGATTGGGTTATGATGGTGCAGTGTTAATAAGGCCTTATGTCGACGGGGATCATCAGTGGAAGTGGAATGCCAAAAATGCTTGTCTTGGCTTGCACCTAGACCCTCTAACCAGAGTTCTAACCAAAGGTGAGTGTAAAGCCCTTAACTCCTTTCTCGTTTCTTGTATATGTCTGTTAATCTTGATCTGCCTTGATATATATTTTCCAGAAGCGAAAGTCACTAGGATGTTATTGGACCTTCTTTTCTGGGCGATGAACAATGATGATATACCAGCAAATTTCATGCTAATCTCTAAACCGGACATCAATTGCGACCGTGTTATTAAAGCGGTAGAACACAGAGGTTTCTTCCATATCCGAGGATGCTCTGATGAGGTCTCACTGCATCTTAAAAGCGCACCATATGGAGAAATGCAAATCAACCAAAGCATAAAGTTACAAGGTCGGAAGTTCCTTGAGGGCCTAGAACATGGTAGTAACATCTTCTATCTCTCTTCTGAATTTTTGTTTGTGTGACTGTCTCTATCTCATTTATCAGTTAGGCCATCTGTCAGTTGTTTTGTTGGTTGATTAATCTAATCAGTTGTTTTAACTGCGTAACTATCTCAGCAGCGCCGTCAATAGTTGTCTTCTGGCTGCTTGAGGAAGATTACCCATCTGATCCCAAGTTGGCGAATTGGAGAATCAGATCAGCCCTTGACAAGAAGGGTTATGGTAATATTACGTCAGTCACGGTTTATGTTAATGAGGAAAAGTTTCCAAGTGGATGGAAGGATGCCTATCATAAGTCGGGAATGGGCGTTGTCTTCATAGATGAAGATTATGGTCTCTCAAAAATTGATACCATGTCATGGGACATGATTAAGTGGAGATATGCCGATGCCCTATCATCACAGTTTGTGGTAATCGCAAAACCCTTTCGAGACATGACGCTTGACCGCTTTTTTGAAGATTTTGAATGTGGAGGATTCTACGTTCTCTTCGAGCAACCTGATTATCTGTTCACATTGGGCAGCGCAGTATGGTCTGCTAAAAACCTTTCATTTTAAAATCTGTTTTGGGGACAAATGATTTGCTGCTTCATTTTTCTTTGCAAAACTCTCTACTGATTTGTTGCTTTTGGTATATTGATGAATAAATCAAACCTTATGAGCACTAATCAAGAGTTTACAACCAAAAAACCCAGTTTCATCGGGTGGTTTAAATATATGTTCTCGAGTACCAAAGGATATTTGAGTATATGTATAAAATAGTTCTGGTGGATGGAACCAACCAAAAAAACAAATACGCATGATGTCAGGGGTGGGCATTCGGTTTTTCGGTTGTACATAAAATGAGTCCATATAAAACCGAAATTGTAATGGGTCGGTCTCGGTTCGGTTTACTTCGGTTTTGGTTCGGTTTGATTCACGATCTATAATAGACCGAAATCCTAATGGTTTGGTTTCGGTTTGAAACCGAAAAACTGAATTCGAACATGTCCAAATCAAATGCACAAGTGAAAAATGAATAAAAAAAGCATCATATGCAAATAATTTAACTCTAAAATCCATAATGAAACACATAAGACACCATATGGACTATTTTTAAACGTTTTGGGTGTGGGTTAGTTAGGTTGTAGATAGG